CCCCCCCCCCCCCCCCGCGCCCTCTTCCGCACGGCTGACGTCCGTCGCCCGCCTCCACTCGCACGCGCACATTTCGAATTTTCAAATTTTGAATTTGTCCCTTGCGTGCCTTCCCGAAGGCCCTTTTTTTATTTTCGAACGACGTCATTTCTTGGACGGCGGCCCGWAAAGCTGGACCACGGCAATCCAGACGGACACAAATGAAGACCAGCCGTCGTACCCAAACCCCGCGGCCGTTAATACGCGTATAAATCTGGCCGCGGGAGCCCCGAGGAATCGTCCTCGGGGGACGACTCCGAGGATGAGTGGAACGAAGGCGTCAAAATCCCCCAACCGCTCCGAGGAATCGTCCTTGGAGCCCGAGGAAGCCCCGAGGAGTGTCGAACGAGCCCCATAATTGAACTATGGGCCAACATGCAGTTTCAAATTGCAGTTTGGGCAATGTATACGGCCCAACTTTCGGGCGAGGTAGGGTGCCCGAAGTGCAATTGCAAACTGTATCTTCCCCCATAGTGCAACGATAACACGTTTTTGTGACTCTGCTGAAGTTACCCCAAGTTGGGGGAAACTACGTGGGAGTCAGAAAAACGAGAATATTGATTGAAAAAGAAGAAGAAGAAGCACCGGTCAAGAGGCGCAAGTGCAAGCTTATGTACCAGACATGCTTGTGGCACGGTGGGCACTGCTGAAAATGTATAGTGAGCAGGACCGCACGCTCTCGGTAGATGGATTGACTAGGGTAAGGGTGGTTGGCTCAGACGACAAAGGATACTTTGCCTATGAAATGGCCACCCCAGTGTGTGCACTCCCATTCGACCCGGACGAATGGGAGTGGAAAGGGAGAGTGCCTACACCGATATGGGAGTACTCGGTGAGACAAGGCTACAAACAGGCGCACACACTACACATCTCCACACCGGTGGTCCAAAACCGGTGGAAAAGGTACTCACCAGTAGATGAAAAGGAACTGCACCGTATCCATTGGGGCACCTACGCACACATCATGCCAACATCCCACTGAGCGTTGCAATGGCAGATCACACACCGATGCCTACTGACACCGGCCTGGGTAACTTTAAGGTCCAAACTGGAGCAAGCAGGTATCATGTCCCCTATTTGCTCCCACTGTGGCCCTAACAAACAACGCAGGTGCGCTGATTTGGAGCACTGCTTGCTGGCATGCCCAATGGCAGTGCAGGTGTGGCAATGGTGGGATGCATTGTGGCATGACATAACCGGATTAATCTTTCAATGGAACATTGCGCTCATCCTCCTAGGCAAACCTGCTGATTATCCGACAGGGTGGTCACTGTTTCAAGCAAACCTCTTCTAACACATGAGGCTTGCTCTCCTCATGGTGATCTGGAGAATGAGATGCTCAGCTGAAAGGCAAGACGCCGCTTTTGGTTTCTACCAAGCCAAAGTCGAACTAGCAGAGGTCATCCGGGAAAACATGCTGAAAGCCAGCAAAAAACTGGCAGAGACTATGGCAACGACTCCGGACCAGATGGGCAGGCAAAAACTTCTAGAGACCTTTATGGAGAACTGGATCGACCCGCACCAAAAACTGGATGGCACAGGACCACTGCTGGATTTATAGACCACCAGAATGCTTTCCTACGCCACTGCCAGGACGGACTACAGGCGCAATGACAGCAGGAAACCAGAGCCCTAGGCGACA